GACAAAAACAAAGGAGAAAAAAAAAGAGTTTTGTTGGAGTAAAGAAAGCCCATCAACACAATTATAACGGCCATTTAGTGTTGGGAAATAGTAAGACAGACAGATTATAGGCAAAGAAGGGGGAAAAAAAAAGAAATAGATTGGTCGGTAGCACCCTCTAACAACCTGCAAAGAAGAAGGACAAACGAAGATGAATAGATGTTTGACAGTACAAAAAACCCTTAAAAACCCCACAGCAGACCACCTGCCAATTCCTCAAGGGGTAAAAAAAAGAAGCACTCCCACACAACCTTCTAGGGGTTAGTAGGCACAGGGGGTGAGCACAAGACACATAGAAACAGGGGGGGAAAAAAGAGGTAGATAGACAGACAGACAGAGGAAGACAGAAAAAGGAATAGGAAAAGACAAACAGACATTTTTTGTTTCAGTATGAGTTTTTAGTAGTAGAGGTTTTACTGCTCTCGCAACTGCATAAGGTCAAATGAGCGCCAGAAGATTAGAGCTGTTACAAGACAGTAACAAACATAAAAGAGAAGAAGGGGAGAAGGACGATAGATGTTAGATAGGAAAGAAGGAGCAAACCACACCAGAGCACTCGCCAACCACCCACAGTATGAGTTTTACGGCACTTACAACCCAAATAGGTCATATATAAGTCCTGAAGATTAGAGGTTTTGAGTACCATACATACAAAGAAAAGAAGGAGGAGAGATACGGACGATAGATGTTTGATAGGAAAGAAGGAACAAACCACATCAGAGCACCCGCCAATCACCCACAGAGACAAAGACAGAGATAAAGAGACAAAGAGACAAAGAGAAAGAGAAGAACGTTCACTGACACACTTACATGTAACCCGAAACAGCTCCCACAAATATATAGATTTGATGCTAAAATTATCACTTCTGAATCTTCCCTCACTATGTAAGACAAAGCCATCTGCTACCCTGTATTTTCTTCTTTTTTTTCTTCTTTCTTTTTAAAAGTTTTAGTAATAGTTTTACGGCACTTGCAACACAATAAGGTCGTATAAGTGCCGAAGAATAGAGGTGTTACAAGAGAGTAACATACACAAAGAAGAAGGAAGAGCGATTAGGACAATAGATGTTTGATACAAGAAATTTAGAAAGAAGGAGCAAACCACACCAGAGCACCCGCCAACCACCCATCTGTTGCCCAAGAAGCTCATCAACTCTGGCCAACATTTTCTCACCTCTCTTCTCACCTGTCTTCATAAAAACAGGTCAGGCTTACCTCAACAAATTAAGCGGGCCAGGAGACCTTTCTTAGCCAAAAAAAAGGCTCATTCCACACGCATCCACGCACGCACACAAACACACGCACCCACACATACAAGAGAGTAACAAACACAAAAAGGAGGGGAGGAAGAGACGATAGTTTTTTCATAGTATAGGAGGAAAGAAGGACCAGAGCACCCGCCAACCACCCACTCCCGCCACCTGCCACAAACCAAAGCGATCAGGCAGAAAAAGTACAAGACTACTACAACTACTAACCAACCCACAAACCCTGAACCGAACCCATAAATAGAGCAGTAAGCGAAACGCGGAAGAAAAGTTCACCCTTCTATCCCACAATATCAATTCCTCCAACAGCAAAATCTTAATCATTCTCCTCTCTGTCTGTTCCCAGAAAAGCAACAGCCAAGAAGAACAGAAAAGCAAAACAAAAAATCCACAAAAAAAAAACCCCAAAAAAACTCAGCCCTGAAGACGTCAGCTTCACGACAATTCCAAACAAACCCACTCACAACAACCCAACCACACACACA